ACAATAAGGTATTTTGATATTTGTTTTCTCTCGGTTATCACAAATGTCACTATTTCTTCATGTTTAATTTTTTTTATTGCAGACTGATGAGACGAGGGAAGTTTGCCATATGTTGTACACAGTGTGGCCAGATTACGGTGTTCCTCAGTCGGCTAAAGCTTTATTACAATTCTTGTTCTTAGTCAGGCAACAGCAGAGTAAATTACTCGCTAGCAGAGGAGACACATGGGCCGGACATCCTCGAGGACCACCTATAGTCGTACATTGCAGCGCTGGCATCGGAAGAACAGGTAAATAGACGCTTCTTGCAATCAGAATTGTGATCTAGAAATTGGTACTCTTATTTTCCGAGACATAAAAATTTAGACGTGAGATATGCATTAAGTTGACGCATTTTTCCAGGCACATTTTGTACCTTGGACATTTGCATATCGCGACTAGAGGACACTGGAACCGTAGACATACGAGGAACTGTCGAGAAGATTAGAGCACAGAGGGCCTACAGTATTCAAATGCCGGATCAGTACGTCTTTTGCCATCGTGCTTTGGCGGAATATGCGCTTTCCAAAGGGATGCTTAGTGCACAGCATCTCTCCATGTTACCTCCACCGATCGAAGAGGATTCTGATTAAGATAGTAATGAGTTCTGCTATCATATACTGGATTGATGTTCTTCCCTAGTATGCGTGCGTATGTATATATAACTATAAATATGTATACATATACATACATACACACCCATACACACGCTATCCTTAAAATAGCCTATTTCTACCTTAAACGACTGAAAGTTATTTTTTGCTATTGTATCCATCGATGTAACGATTGAACTTCTCGCTATTACGTTAGTCCTAAATTTCCTATGAAGCGGATTGGTTCTTTTTTCAATACCAAATAAACGAACAGGAAATGTTTCATATTCCTGTTCTTTATGCTCTGGCAAATTCTATGTAAAGGTGCATCAAAAGGCACTGATCAAAGATAGATATTTTACTAGTATAAGAATCTGGCACATTGATGGATCTTATTCGACTCTCTCAAACTTAAATTAGAATTTATATTCTTTAAAATTTGAAGCTTAAATTTGAGCTATTACGAAACGAGATTTAATTTCTAAATATTTTAATTTATTATATCTTTTAATATATCCCAATTAATAAATTATAAT